CAAAAAAAGGATTGCAGAAATATGTATACACCCATGTTGCATAGTGTATTATTGGCAATATTACTATATACTGTAGCATATTATATATTTACATCTAATAATAATAGCTATCACATTTGTTATATATCGTAATACATATTGTAATATCTACTACAGTATTATAAAGTGACTCACAAGAAGCAAAAGGTGGAAGCAACCCAGTGTCCACTGACAGATGAATGAATGGACAAACAAAACGTGGTATACACCTATAATGGGATATTACTCAACCTTCAAAAGGAAGGTAATTCTGAAACATGCTACGACATAGATGAACTCTAAGGACATATGTCACAAAAAGACAAATCCCGTATGACTCCACGTATATGAGGTACCTAGAGTAGTCAGATTCATAGAGACACAAGGAATGGTGATTGCCAGGTGCTGGGGACAACAGGGGATGGGGAGCTATTGTTTAATGGGTATAATGTTTCAGTTTTGCACGATGAAAAGAGTTCTGGAGACAGATGGTGATGACGGTTGTCTAATGCTGTGAATGTACTTAATACCACCGAAATGGGCACTTAAAAATGGATAAGCTGTTGCACTACCTCCCATCTAGCTCCCATATATAACTATCTAGAATTTAAGTAAAATTTTTTAAAAAATGGATAAGCTGGTAAATTTTGTTATGTATGTTCTGTCGTAATTACTAATAATTTTTTTTTAAGAAAGAGTAGAGCCTAGGGGTGCCTGGGTGGCTCAGTTAGTTAAGCGTCTGCCTTCGGCTCAGGTCATGATCTCAGGGTTCTGGGATCGAGTCCCGCATCGGGCTCCCTGCTCAGCGGGAGGCCTGCTTCTCCCTCTCCGCTCGTGCTCTCTCTCTCAAACAAATAAATAAAATCTTTAAAAAAAGTAAAGCCCACACAGATTTCACGTTTAATGGCCACAGTGTCGATTCACTGCCGTCCACTTGGATGAACAGAATTTCTCTTAGCGGCGAGAGTAACTTCACACCTGTTCAATCACCGCATATGCTTTAGATTTCTCTGTCCTCATTTTCATTATCTCCTAGCCAAACCTTACCAACGAGACCAAAACATTTACAGTAGCTCCATTAGCTGCTAGTGTCCTGAAGGCCAAGATCAAAGACACAATGTTCAAAGCCACAAAACAGCTGGGACATTCGGCCGCAAGCCAGAGGATGCCTACAGCCGGCCCTAGCCGCCACCGTTCCCGTGGGTTCTCCAAGGCACAGAGATGTAGAACTCAGCCCTAAGAGTCGCACTGATCCCACACCAGTGAGGCAGCCTGAAAACAAGAAACTGCCGAGCTCTGCTTTCCACCCCCTGATGCAGGTGCATCTCCCCGTCCCATTCAACGGACCGACAAGTGCCTTGGTGAAGGCGGACGCTGATCTGCAAGGAAAATCAGCATCAACATCCAATGGCCTCAGTGCATCATGTGAGGATTTTGTTTTCTGTCTCCAAGGCAAGCCTACTTTGCACGGTATGGATTTTTGTTCAGAACCAGTATCTCCTTTTCTACACCCTCCGCCCCTGGCTCTCCCTGCTTCCCAGCAACTGTTTCTCCTGGAAAAACGCTCCCCAGCCTTCAGGGACTAGCCCTGCCCTTGTCTTGCCTGCATGGTGACCCTGTTGCTGTCCTCGAACCTCCATTTCTCCTTCTTCCATCGTGGGCTTTCTCCTTCTGGCACTACGGACGCTTTTGGCTAGAACATTCTTCGGGGTGGGGACTGTCCCGTGCACTGCAAGTACTTAGCAGCATCCCTGATCTCCACCCACCAAACCCACAATGTTTCCCAGCACTGCCAAATGTCCTGAGAGCAAGACTGTCCCTGGCTCAGAACCACTGATCTGTAGGACAGAAGCTGCAGGGAGGCCCATGGCCGCCCCGCTGAAAATCAGATTTCCCAGTCCAGTCCCAGCCAACGACTGACAGAGGCTGTCTCCCAGTCTGAAGGAGGAAGGACCCTGCAGTGCCATCCGGTGATCCACAGTCCCCCTCCCCACCACCGATTAGGCTGACGCTAAGACCACGCCCTTCCTGGGCTGTCATCCTTCGCCTAGACTGCTTCCCTCCCTCCCCTGCAGGGCATTCTCCTACGTCCTGCTATGGGTTCAATGATATCCCCCAAAAGACAGGTTATCATCCTCACTCCCATCACTTCAGAATGTGACCTTACTTGGGAATAGGGCTGTTGCAGATGTAATTATTTAAAACGGGAACATAATGGAGTAAGGTGGGCCCCCTCATCCAATAGGACTGATGTCCTTAAGAAAAGACAGAGACGCACACAGAGAAGGTCACGTGACGACAGAGGCAGAGATTGGAGTGATGCAGCTATAAGCCGAGGGGGGACGCCAAGGATGGCCGGCAACCACTAGAAGCCAGAAAGCGGCAAGGAAGGATTCACTCCTATAGGTTTCAGAGGGAGCATGGCCTTGATCTTGGACTTCCAGCATCCAGACTGGGAGACAATCAATTCCTGTAGTTTTAAGCCTCCAATTTGTGATGTTCTATCACAGCAGCCCTACAAACTAATCCACACCCAAATCCTTATCTCAAGCTCTGCTTCCAGGGAACCCAAACCTCCAACAACTGGCCTTTCTTCTCAGACTGTAAATTCCAGAGCCAGCCTGAGACGGGAAATGGGAGTCTGCTCTTCCCTGGGCCAGTTTCCATGAGCCTTTCTTTGAGGGAGAAGGGAGAAGGAAGAAGGAGGGAAGGAGGGAGGGTGGCCGGTGGGAGAAAGAAAGTCACTTCGGGGAATCCTGCCCTCCCTCCATCCTTTATTCATTCAACAAATATTACTGAGCACTAAGTACCACATGGCAGGCACTGTTCTAGGTGCAGGACATGGAGAAGCGTTTGCATACTAGCAGGGGAGATAGAACATAGAATGTAGGTCTGTGGGATGATGGGAAGGGCCACAGAGAAAAGAAAAAGCAGGGGAAGGGGCCAGGGAGTGCCTGGGGTGGCGGCCACTATGTCAGCAGAGGGGTGCGGCAGATATCGCCTCTGGTGCCAGCTACAGACGGTCCCCAAGTCCTGCTTGGGCAAGGTATCCGTTCAGGCAGACAGCCACTTCCTGTCCCAGCCCTCCCGTGAGGCCGTGGGAGCCCACCTGACCCGCGGGCAATGGGCCACAATGGCCCGAAGAGCCACCGTTGACTTGCCCTCCTTCCCTGGGTTCTCCTCACCCCTCACTCCTGCTTCCTGGGATCACCTCCTAAATAAACTCCCTGCACCCAGGACCTTGCCTTGGCCTCAGATTTTGGGAGAATCAAACTAGGGCAGACGGGCCGGGAAATCTTTGCTGAGATTGTAACATTTCAGCCAAGACCTAACATGGCAGCCACGGCAAGGTGTGTGTATGTCCAGATTCTCTGGGTGTCCAGGGTCCTCCACGCTGATGTACACAATCAAGCTGGCCATACAGAGTTGATTTTGTCCAGTGGGTCTCCCTCTTTCAACTGTGTAAGTTTCTTGATGGTTGAAAACCCAGTGATATCAAACATCGAGGCGGCTACATGGAAAGCATCCAATATGTCCTGATCATGTGACGGGAAGGAGGATATGAGATTATAGCAAACACTGCTAACACCTGGACCACCACCTCCTGGTCCTGATGACTTCGGTGCACACAGGCCCCCATGGGGCGGCCAGCTCTTGTGCTTTTTTTTGCATTTGTGGATGTCAAAGTTCTCTATCCGTCAGTGTAACGGGTCAGAAATGCCAGGGGAGGAGCGTCTCCATCCCCCACAGCCCTCCTTCAATGGCCGATAGGAGCTGGTGTATGAACACCCCAGCTCCCCTGCCCCTCTGGTGGAAAGACTCGTAGGCATGTGTCTAACGCTGGCTTCCCATTTCCCCAGCAGGTTTCGGCGCCGGTCACCCACAGTGGTGGCCAGCCAGGTAATGCATACTTTATGTGAATTTCCCACTCCCTCCTGGTGTGTCCTCTGGTGTCACCTCCCTAATAAATGACTTCCCTGGCCTTGGGATTTTCTTCTTCTTGGGGGATCCAAATGAAGGATAAATCTATCTTTGATTAGAAACACACACACACACACACACACAGAAATACACACACACAGAAGAGCAACCCCTCCAGTCCCCATGTTTAAAACCTGTACTCAGGTGTGCTGCTGAATCATCAAATCCCTGACCCGTAGAGCTCAGCTTTGAAAAGCACCTTGGTGTGTCAGACGTAAAATAATCCTGCCTGCGTTACACAAGATTGTCACCCTCAGCGTGAATGGACTAGACTGGCCTCCCACTGGCTGGGTCTTTTCCTGCCCTTGGGCTCCCACCTCCTCCTTCCACCCACACTGCATGCACTGTCATCCTCCAGTCCACAGAATGCCCAAGGGAGGGATGCTCTCAGCCCACTGGGGACAGAGCCGGGTCCGTGGGTGGCTTCCCAAGCAGCCAATTGCCTGTCTGTGGGCTGGTAGGGGGAAAGAAGCCAATCTCACAATTTGCCTGAAAAACATCCATAGATCATCCTGTTCTTCAGCCCTCATTTTATTTTTCCCAAATCAATTTCTGAAAGTCAAAATGACTGATAGCTTCATACCCTGGACAATCATTCTCCTTATTTAATAACCTGGCATTGATGACAAAAAGCTCCCAGGGTGGTGGTGGTTACATGAATCTCTACATGCGGTAAAATTTCATAGAACTCCATAAACACACACACACAGTGGTGCATGTAAAACTCCATGAAAATTCAATAAGGTCCGAAGCTCCGTTGCCAACGTCACTTTGCTGGCATTGCTAAGGCACTCGGGTTGTGTGAGATTTATCACTGGGGCTGCTGGGTGACGAGACAAGAACTCTGTATGGCATTTGCAACTGCTTGCAAGTCAAAACTTGTTTCAAAATAAAAAGTTTTTAACATGCAAAGACGATTTAAATAATGAAATGAAAAGCACCTTTTTTTTTGTTTTTTTTTTAAAGCTCCCAGCAGGAGACAGCGCCAACCCACCCCTTACCTGAGAACTGGGGACCAGCGCCTTCCACCAGTGCCCGCCTTTCACCAGGTCAACCTCGCACAAAGGGACGGACACCTTCCCGATGACACAGTGGCGGGAGAACTTATCAAAATCCACCACGGTCAGCAGCAGGGTCCTCCTCTGTGCTTCTAGGAAGGGGATCTCAAAGGTGTAACGCTCCTCAAACACGGGTTTCTGGGTCTTGCGTTTGACCCCCGTCTGCTTCGAGTTCTTCTGGTCCGGCAGGAGACAGATCTTGACGTAGGGGTTTGAGTGCGCCATGTCCTGGCGTGAGCCGTCGTGGGAGATGGGGGGCGGCAGGTCCCTGGCCTCGATCACCCTCACGGTCAGGTGGTTGTGCAGCAGGTCGTACTGGGTGCTGAAGTGCAGCATGCCCAGCTGGTACTTGGACAAGATCTCCTCATCGGTCAGGAAGTCCACATCGTCGCTGTTGGAGTCTAGGGAGTACAGCTGGGGCTCGAACTTTCTGAAATAGTCGTCTGGGGTGTAAGTCCGTCTGAGCACCGAGGGCTGGATGGGCTCCTTTTTGGCGCTGAGAACGCCAAACTCGATGGGTTTAATATCAATGAGCGGGGAGCTGGGTCGTCTGGATTCAAGACCTAAACAGCCGCCAGAAATAACAATTAACACTGCCACGTGTGGGACCAAACCTGGGCCGCTTCATGAAACTGGCAACATTTCCTAGATTCTCACGTTGTTCACTGTTGCCCAAATCTCTTTGCCATCTGCTCTCCACACCTTGAGATCCTCTTATTTATTCCCTGAGAGGCAACATGGCGGCATGACCATCCCCATCACAACCAGGCACTGTTCTCAACACACTGACATATCAAGTCATCGGATCTCCACAAGGTATTAGATAATGGCGATCCCTACTTGACAGATGAGGAAACAGAAACTCAAAATAGCTCTCCGGAAGTGACACAGGTAGTAAGAGGAAGAACCGGGAGTCAAGCCCAGCCTGTCTGGCCCCAGAGTCTTGAGGCTAACCGTGACCCTATACGGCCTCCCCTTCCGGAGAGTGGACTGTGGAGCCAGAGTTCCTGGGACTCAGTTTCCCCATAAAATGGAGTCAATCATAGCGCCTGCTTCAAAGATTATGGTGATTCAAGGAGCCAATGCATGGAAAGGGCTCGGCACAGAATGTGCACACAGTAACAGCTCGCTACATGGTAACTACTGTACTTCTTCAAGGATCATATTTGGACTTCCCCACTTGTGGGGTGCCTCTCCCCTCCCCATCAACCAGCAGTTTATGGCTCCCAAGTCCATCATTCGAATCTTTGCTCATCCCTTGATTCTAGCAATGAGCTCATGGAATTTTATTTTAAAAAACTATTTAACTGAAGCATTACTGACATACAAAAAAAGCTGTGCATATATGAGCTTGGAGGTAAGTACGCAGCCATGAAACCATCACCACACTCTGTGCTATACACATACCCATCACCTCCCAAAGTGTTCTCCTGCCTTCTTTATTTACTTAATTTTTCTGATGATAAGGACCTTTAACACAGGATCAAGTCTCTTAGTAAAATTTTAAGTATACAATATTGTTAACTATAAGCACTGTGCTGTACAGTAGAGCTCTAGAACTTCTTTATCTTGCATAACGGAAAGCAACACCTCCCCAGCTCCCCGTCCCTGCAGTCCCTGGTAACCACACTTTCCTCTCTGCTCCTAGGAGTCTGACTATCAGATTCCTCATATAAAGCAGGGTTATGTAGCATTCGTTCTTTCACGACCTTCTTGTTAAGTGCCCCAGCACCTGTCTTGTCCGCTAAAATCATGAGACTTTGGTCTGGTGCATGGCTGGTACTCTGATAACTATGTGCTAAATGATAATCATCTGCGTACAGAGCTGGGCAGGAGACCTAGGAATCATCTAGACGGGTGCTATTCAAGAGAAATATAGTGGGGTTCAGAAATACAAACCACATAGGTAACATAAAGTCTTCCAATTCTTTAAGAGTGCAAAGAAACGGGTGAAATTAATATTTTCAACATATAATCAAAATGAAAACGTCTCAGTGAGACAGTGTAAATTCTCTTTTATTTCCTGGCTTCAAAATCGTGGGCACGTAACACATACAGCATGTCTCCACTGGGCTCAGCCCCATTTAAATGCTCACCAGCGATGCGTGGCTGGTGGCTGCCGCACTGGACAGCGCAGGTCGGGAACAGGCCTCTTGCTTTACAGATGGAAAGACTGACGCCTAGAGAGGCCTCACATCCCCTCTGTTTCACTCTTTCAAGCCCTTGAACTTTTCTCTACTTCCTCGCCCGCCCCCCGTTTACCCCCAAGAAAGATCAGACACCAATATTTCCACCTGAGTGGATTTACTTCATGAATTTTAAGCTTTTCCCCACCCTCTGTTAAGTGAATTGCAGACAGCTGAATGAGACAGCAGAGATCCTTTCGGGGAGTGAAAGGAGGCTGGGGGTCTTTGGGCTTTATCCTCCTTTTCCCTCCCCACCCAAACCATGCCATCTGGTCAAAGACAGATGCTGTACATCCGAGTGGACCAACTGGGGGGCCTGTGGACCCTATTTGACCTAGAGATACATCTTGTCTGGGTTTAAAGCTAAAGAAGTTTCATATAAAACCCCAGATCGCCAGTTTCTCTTTAGAAAGGGCAGGCAATACGGAGCTCACAATCTCGCACGCCGCCCCCGCCCCGGCAAGAGCTGAGTAACAACTGCCCCTTTCAGTGGGGCACTGGCTTCCCAAATGGCCACAGTCCCCACCCCGCCCCGGTAACTGAGGCTGAGTCAGCTGCCACTTGTCACTGCATTAGAACGAATCTCATTTCTATCCAACCCTCTCCAACTCATTCACGGACAAAACCCACCTGGCCCCTGAAGTTACTTGAATTTGCAAGCGCTGCCATACAACACGGGAACACCCACCTTTTGGGGTCTGAAATGATAATATGCTGACCACGTCAATCAACTGAGCCAATTCAATGAAATTTGTGATCAGGAGAAAGAAAAATCGATCAAGTAACTGCTTCCGGCTGAACTCAGCAGAAATCAGGTGCAACGCACTCTGGTCACACGGTTATCATCTCTCCATCATCCTGTCTCCTGCCCGGACTGTCATCCCACTCTGCCCCCTCCCCAGAAGACAAGCCCTTCCCTCACATCTTTCCTTGGGGATGCTGCCGAGTGTCTGGGAAAGCCAGCTCTCTTCTTTTGTCCTGGGGACCTGGCTAATGGGACTTTAATTTGTGAATGGAGGTTGAATGGCACAGGATTTCATGAGGATCCCTAGGCAGTCACAGCAAAGATGCTTACTTGAAATCCTTCGGGTCAGGCTGTACGTAGACTTTGACGTGTCTGAGGATGAGCATCTGCGATCTGGGGAGTTGGTCCGTGGGGTCAGAGGGACTTCACTAGCTGTGTGGACGGAATCCCCGTCCTTGTCACTGCTCCGGCCGGCCATCCTATAGGAAAGAAAGAGGTCTCAGTGGTTGTCAAAAAATCTCCAGGGACTGGCATCCCCGCCCCTGGGAAGACAGACCCACGACGAAACAGCTCTCAGATCCAGTTTATACAACTTGCAGTAATACAAACTTGAATCAGTGCGGCAGCCCTAGACTCTCAATAATGCCTTACTTTTTGCACAAAATGAGAAATGATATAAGGACTTTCTGATTTAGAACAATCTGTCAAGGACAGTGGGGAGGGATATGTACTTATTCAGGTTATTGCCACATGGAGGCGCCACGCTAAGTCAAGCCCAGACCTGTCAATCAGTCTGGAAGGAACCACAGGGTTGTCTATACCCATCTGAACTTCTGCAAGTGGCTTTTGGTGGGAAACGGCCTGCTATTTCAACCCTCACTGTGTCTATACTTTAGCATCTTCTAAAAGTATCCTATAACAGTGTCAACTCGAGAGTTCTGAGCGCCAGGGCTAAAGCTACAAAATGGCCCTGAGAATCAATGACTTAAGAGTAATAGTTCGATGTGAAGGAACAGCTAAAAATGAGCAGCCGCCATGATTCAATGTGCTCCCAATGAGGATGAAAAATACTAAAAGAAGAAAAAGCACTGGGTCGGGGGTGGGGAGATACAGGGTAGCAATTAAGAGCACAACCTCTTGGTCTGAACCCTGGCTGGGTGACCTTGGGCAAGGCCCTTCCTCTCTCTGTGCCTCCATCTACCCATCTGCAAAATGGGAATAATAATAGTACCCACCTTAGATGGTTGCTCTCCACACTGAATGAGTTAGCGCATATAAAATGCTTAGAACAGTTCTTGGTACATAGTAGGTGTGTGCTCAATACATTTTAGCTGGCATGATAACAATCTTTAAGATCCCCCAATCCCCAAAAAGCTAGGTAAGGATGCTTGGCGGGGGGGGGGAGAGGTGGGGAAAAAAGCTGGCGGAGTGGCCGGGAGATGGATGCTGCTATTGACTCAGCCCTAAGCGATTGTGGCTGTAGACGGATACCTTCTGAGACTACATCCCCCACCCCCACCCCCTACCCAGCTTGACATTTAAGCCTGTGCATAAGCTAGTCTTGAAAAATGCAAGTTTCCAATTCTAGGAGGTCCTTAGATGCATCCTGTGCATGAAATGAGACGGATCTGATGTTCTTCCAAAGCAATGTAAGGGTCACAGCCAGGACAAGACCGGGCATGTTATGGGGGTTAAGGGGGGTAAGGGGGAATGCCCAGTCCCTGCTTGCCTCCCACTCCTGGTCTGTAAAAGGTGCACGCAGCAGATGAAATGGGGGGAGGGGGAGTAGGGGAAGGCACAGAAATGCAGCCATACTGTATCATTCATTCTTCTCTCTCCCTTAAATGAAAGCTGCAGCATCTTCCAAAGAAGGTGGAACCACCTCAGGCACCCCCACCTGCATGCCTGTTTCCTGGAGGGCCGTGGCCATACGTCACTGCAGCAGCCACCTCCAACCTATTAAGTCCCATCCAGTCTTCGGGGCTCAGCTTAAGTGCTGTCGCCCCTGAAGTCTCGCTTGAGTCCTCTCGGACAATGTCTGAGCCACCCCTAACTCCTCTGCACCCACCGGGCTTCCCAGCCCTTCCTCCAACACACTGAGCTGAGCCATGCTGTTCCCTCTGCCTGGAATGCTCTTCCTGTCTCCATCTCCTGTCTGGTTCCTTCTCATCAGTCAGGTCTCAGTCTCAACAGCGCCTCCTCAGAGACGCCCCACCCTGTCCCTATCACCTCCTCCTACCCCATCAGCCCTTCTTTCCCTCTTCCAACAATGCACATAACTCATCTTTAGCTGTGGCTTATCTTCTGCGTCTGACACTAAGTCCTTGCTCAGTGTCTCTTGTTCACCACTGCCGACCTTGCCCTAGCATGGCATATGGCACATGTGGAGTCTTCGTTTATTTTCTCAGTAAACGAATGAATGAATTCACCCTTCTTGTCATTCTTATCTGATTTCATCTTGTCTCAAAATGATCTGAGTGCATATCTTGCCTCCCGCCCCCCAGCAGGGTACGCTCCTTAATGGGGCGATCTATACTTATCTTTTTTTTTTTTTTTTAAAG